AAAAAATTTATCACAAAATTCCACCGGGAGCCACCTCAAATGGCACGTCCGGACAGAATCTTCTATATAAGGACTTATTTGACGCCTTTTTTGCAACTTCGAGGACAAAACTGACCCTTTACTCAATTATAAAGGCAAAAGAAAAAAAAATAACATGAACCGGCCTGGAACCGCTGCCTACCTGGGCCAGTCCCGGTTCTTCCTTCCCAAAAAAAAGCCCGGCTAAGCCCAGGCCCGAACCGGAACCGGCCCGGGTCCATCACTAGTCTGATCTGATAGTTTTATATTAGATGGACTTGGTGTACTCATTTCTTGGAAGATGTCCTTGGGAAGCAAAACATGTCATTAATAAAACAGATCCACAAACAATTATAGGACTTAAGTATATTGGATTGACAAAAATAAATGACTTATACCTCCAGGCTCTGCAGAGTAAGGATGTTTTTACTTGGACTGTAATTTGCTAGTCTGGTCTGGTCTGGTCTGGTAAGGTCTGGTTTCTTTGTATTTTTATAACTATCCAAGTCTGGTCTGGTCTGAACTGGTCTGGTCTGGTCTGGTCTGGTCTGGTCTGGGGCAAATTACAGTCCAAGTAAAAACATCCTAACTGCCGTTGAGTTGTTGCTGGATGCCACAATCATAGATGGCTACTACTGTGCTTGCCACCACGGTAGGTAGGTGGTGGACTTTCGCAGGCTCGCCATCGCTACACCAGAAATACAGTAACCGTAGATCTTACTCTAAATCTGAAACTTATGATCTAAATGTTGAACCATACAATAAAATTCATAGAATTTTGGGTTGAAATATTTGCACTTTTTAAACTAAAGATTGCATAGCCAAGGAACAAAACACATGTAGTCTTATTTTTTTTAAAGTGTAATAAGCTGAGCAATTTTCTCTTTCAACCCAATCTTCTTTTGGCAACCCCTTTTAGCACTTGCTTGTGGCATTAAAGTTTGGGAGCTGCGTATGTATTATTTGGAATTCCAAACTTCTTTGTGTGAATAATCATTATCGTTTTCAGTTATGTTCCAGCTTGCTTGTTTCTATAGTAGACAGGTAGAGGTCAGCATGTAAAATCGGAAAAGTTAATAGTTTGATTTAGTGTAAAAGACATTTGAGAGACATGAAAAGAACAAGTTGATGAAAATGTAAGAAAGAAAATAATATGGCATTACCACTAGGGCACTAGAAACGAGATACATTGAGAAAACATAAAACTAAAGCGTGACAGGAATAATCACCCATCCCTACATGAACACTAACTTTAACAAATGGAAAACTGTGTGACTCATTTGTAAGAGATTATGGTAATCAGTGGCGGACCCACCAAGGGTCCCACGGGGTCCCGGGACCCCGTGCACTTCCAAAATTTTATCTATATATATCATATATATCTTTGACAAAATTAATTAATATAGGTATATATATAACAAAGGCGACCTGAAAACCCAAAGCACAATTGCAGTAGAATGGAAGAATAAGAGAGGCCAAGTGCCTTTGTTCTTGCACGAGGTGCTGGGTTCGACTCCCTTGTCCTCAGTTTTTTGGTTTTTTTCAAACACTTTATTTTAAAAGATCAAAGCGAGGTCGTTTTAGTCTTTTTGTTAACCCCTACCAAGTCCTAACCAGGGGTTATAAACGAAATGAACAATCTCAATCCATTTCGCGATTCAGATTCCAAATTGTGGATACAAATACAGATTAGTTTTGGTATTCAAATAACTTTCTAATATGAATACACATATATTGATTGTGTATATTATTCGGAGTACCCCCGTTTTTTTCAAATCTTTATTCTAAAATATCAAAATGACGTCGTTTAGGCCTTTTTAAACGTTATACCAAGCCCTAAACAGGGTTGTAAACGAATCGAATGATTTTAATCTGATTCGAGATTCAAATTCGAAATTGTGATTCGAATTCGAAATAATCAAATACGAATTAGTTTTGGAATTCAAAACTTTCGAATACGATATGAATATACATATACTCAATTTATATATTATTTGATTATATTCGAAGTATACGAACTATATATATTACATTATAGTTATAGTATATAATAATTTAAATTAAATAATTAAAAAAGGTAATATTAATCAAACCATACCCTCTCTCTACTTCTCTAGTTGATTAAGTTTCAATATTCATTTTAGTAAACATATGTCTGGAAAAAAAATAAGGTACGATACATCATAATTTCAATTGGTGAAAAAATCGACATTTAAAACATTCGATTTTGAATATCCGAATAAAAACCGAATATATTCGAATATGTGTAATGATCGAATACATTGTGAATTTATGATTCGAATACTAAACGAATACGTATACGAATATTCTTCAAATTATACAAATACGAATAATATAATTCAATTTTCAATTCGATCTGATTCATTTATAACCCTGGCCCTAACACATACCAGAACAGACCGATCGACGTATTTAATATTTTATTTTTTATTAATTTTATACTTAGTATTAATTAAAATTACATTAGTTTAGGGACCCCGTGACTCCATTTTTCTGGGTCCGCCACTGATGGTAATATAAACTATATAGAGCTTTCTTTAAAAGAAATAATTGTCAAGTTTGGGAAATACGAAAAGGAAAATGTGATATTATCAAGGGACATATGCATATAGTAAAACTAGTATAGCATTGCGATACAAACATATTTTGTATTTGGACACAAATGTATTATACTTCTGTGCTTTTGCAATCATGAATCATTGTCAAGATTCTACTTTCATAGTGTTGAATATTGTAGCATTGGGATACAAACATTATTTGTATTTGGACACAAACGTTAATAGTTAATACTACTTTTGCAATCATGAATCATTGTCAAGATTCTACTTTCATAGTGTTGAATATTGTAGTTTCTATTATATTATTAAGAAAATAAACAAAACTTTATGAGTTTATGTAATGTAACTGGATTGACTGTTACAATATTTGATAACCATTTGTTAGAGGTTAGACTCGAGATAGTAAAATTTGTCTGTAAACATTTTCTCTACACTGGTTTTTGTAACCCTTATTTCATGTAAAATATGCAGACAACTGTCTGTGTGCGCAAACAAATGCGCAAAATGTATAAAAAAGTGTATATGACAAGCATCTCTCGACAGTGAAATTGCAATTTTGGAAATCAGAAGTCTCGGTTGCACAAGCTTAGTTTTAATTTGCATTTGGCTCCTCTAATCATTCGCTATATTTATCAGCTCGCAGGAACGAACCTTCTCTGCCCGGAACTAAGAAGATTTGGACCTATCTCCGTCTCTTCAAATCATAATAAAGCTTGTAGCTACATAAAGCTTGGGGCCACAAAAATCACGCTTGCTCCAATTCATGGCAGTCTTTTCTAATTTTGTGGGAGTCTCAGATTTAGTACAGGAGGAGTCGATGCATTGGCTACCCGAAATCACGTCAACTACAGAGGAGCCAACATGAATATCTAAGCTAATTTTTTATTGTCAAATTCGAGAAGCATACTCAGAGAAACAATGGTCTCTAATTCCATTGGAACAACACAGACTTATTCAGGCATACTCAGATGTTTCAGACAACTTTTACCAATCGGATGACTCTTTTTACATGGACGACTTTCTGGGACATGCAACTGAAAGCGATCGTCGTCCCCTTATCTCAACTTCGGCAGAAATTGCGAAATCAAAATTCAACAAAGCGATTTGCAAAAAACCCAAGTTTGTCAATTCGGAAAATTGCCTGTCGATGGACAATTTGAACACTCAAATCAAAATAAACAGGAAATCTCAAAAGAATAAGCGGCACGAGAAGACTAGGTCGCACTCTAGAGAATTTCCTTGGGTGTAATCTTAGGTTTTACTTTCTATGTACTTTTTTTGTTTCTTGTATTTCCTTTTTTGATTGTACTGTTTATTTTTCTTCAAAAAAAAACAAGCAGCTCTCGACTCGAGATAGTAGATAAAAGAAGACAATCTCCTATGTTGCCATCGGATTTGGATCCTCTGCCGTGCGGTAGAGGTGCCTTGCAGCATCCAACGGCAGGGACGGTAGGGGAGGAGAGGTGGTGGGGCTGCTTTGGTTGAATCGCGTGGCTGTAAAAGCCACGCACCCTACCTTGCTGCTACAGCAAGGCAGATAATCCAGATCCATTGCCATCTTGGCTCTTGCACAATAAATAAAAGCCAAGGACAACCACAAATGCTGAGATTATTATTGAAGAGTCTTATTTTTAAACACTGATCTACTACATATTGCAATTTCAAGAGCTGCTACTATGGTGGATTGAAGATCGTAACCACTAACCTGCATGGGTGATGAGAATCACAATACTGAACTCACTAAATTTGTGTAGTCTTCAAAAACTTTTAAACGTGTTTTTCACTATTTTTTAAAAAAAAACTTTGCTTTTAAGAATCATTCATTACATGGACAAGTCAGTTCTAATTGGGAGTTGGGACTAGGGGTGCACTAGGACGGGTCAGCCTGACCTACTATTGTGCAGGCCCGACCCTACCCGGTTGACCGAGACCAAGCCCGCACTTTGATTTTAGTGGACCAGCCCGTCCGGGCCTAAAGGTCAACTGGTCAAGAATTTCAAAAAAGACAAAATATTGACTAGGAATTATTTGGCCCAACCCAGTCCCGTCCCGAAGCCCGCCCAGGTAACCTGACCCGACCCGGTCCAGTACAAACCCGGGCTGGTATTGGGCCTAATAATTTTGGGCCCGGAGCCCGGCCTGGACCTGGACCAGTCCACCCCTAATTGAGACCGGTTCCAGTTATAAAAAGCAATGCAACACAACTCAACTCCAAGTCTCTCCAATCTAGCTCTTGTTTTGAGCCTATAAATGGCAATACTGCAATGGTTAACTCTGAGACTGACCTTATTTTAGAAGAACTAGAACCACTTGGGACAATTTCCAGGAACCAGTACCAAAAACCAAAAACCCCATTACCACACAGGTGGATCCTTATTTTGGTCCATTCATTCCAAATACGCCGTACTTCCATAATCTTTATTTGGTTATTTTCCCCAAAAACCTGTCATCCCGGGGTGCATACTGGCATACCTAGTTAAGGTAGTTATTGAAAAAAACAGCACATGCCATGTTCAGATCATTACAATTATACGGAGTACCTTCTAACTAACAAAAAAAAATTAATAAGTGATACGAACACAGCAATAGACAGTAAGTTCGGGCTCGTATCAATTAGTACACACCCAATCCAACTTATAACTTATTTACAGTAACCTGTACATCTGATCAGTCATAATTTAAAAAATGACTATCCGAGTTTGCCCTTCCTTCGTGACCACAGCGCACTCTGAACAATTCTTTGATCCATTTCCAGGAACAAAATGTTTCACATTTCAAAGAATGCGCCTGAAGGTGAGGTTGATTCGTACTGCCTCAGCTTTTGCACGCTTAGGCACAGAATGGAGCCAATCCCGTTGAGTATATCCTCTCATCAGCAACAATGACCCATGTTTCAGTGCAAAACGGTGTTGCTCCGTATTGCTATGCTTTCTAGATCGCTTTTTCGGAGCCTCGCCCTCACCATTTTTACCTCAAATGTTTAATAACACAAAAACCTCAGGAAGAGAACATTGAGCAATGAGGTCAATTGCATCTACCTCTCCCAATGATTAATCTAATACCAGAAAACACTCAAGATTTCTGAAAATAACGAACAGGTTCTTTGACCCGTTGGATTTTCAACTTTGACATAGGAGATTATATTCCATTGGGTTCTTCTTATTACGAAGTAAAACACATGATTCTGTTTTTCACATAGATTAAAGAAATGATAAAAGCGTTTTAAATAAGGGAAAATTTCCGTTTACACCCCATATGTGTGAATACATATGTAACAGTGTAACTTGTACAAGTATTTAGGAATTAGAATTAGAATCACCTAAATGTCTTACAAATAGGACTGGAGGACGATACACTGGATTTGATGTTTTCTAATGACTTTTTTGTTACTAAAGTATTTAAATCTATCTCTAAAACATATTTGGGACCAATAATGAGTATAACTATACTTTTCCGTAACCTCAAGGGCGATTTTTTTTATTGAACCTTGGGCAAGGTAGATGCAATTAACCCTTTGACGTATTGCCAAAAAACTGACCACGCAGTAATTTTAAAAAGACATCTTTGGGGGCAGGGTTATTTAAACGTTGAGCATGAATACAAGTTATTGCATGAAATGTACCCACACACTTCAGTTGAACAAGACACTGACAAAAGTCAAAAGAGAATTGGAACACATTCATCAATGATACTTCCTTCGTTCTACTATAATACCAAAAGTTTGACTTTCACGTTTTCCAAGACATGACTTTAACCGTTAATAATTTACTTATCAATTCTTGAAAAATTTTAGAGAGTGATATTTTAGAATTATAAATTGAGAATATTTTCGCAAACTTGTACATAATAGGATTAGTTTTTATAATTATTGAAACATATGGTCAAGTAGGATATGTAAATAGTGTCAAAGTTAACAGCTAAAATTATTAAAGAGCAGATAAAATATTGTGTATGACATATGCCTTACCCCGGGAAATTTTATTTGGTTTCTTTTTTAAAAAGAAGTCCCTTTCACATCCTAGGGATACAGATGCTATTTGCGGAGTGGGCCCATAAAGTTTCTCATCATCAGCATGCCATCCAACGTAGTCGTTCCCTCCCTTGTACCTATTCAAAAGCAAGCTGTTGAAGAAGGTTCCGGGAATAGCTTTATGAACCTGCACATATGTATAACATCAAACATAAACTAAACAAAGATAGATCTGATCATGAATCATGCAAGCATTTGGAGTGCAAATATTAAATAGAAATAAAAGCATTCTTACAGCATCAAGAATCTCCTTGAGAGGAGGGAATTCTTCCCAAGAATATGCATGTGGTTGATATCCACTGTAAACCAGGTCTGGCAACCCTTCACCCGCAATGTAGCAAGTATCCCTAGGCTGCCGTAAGAGGTCGTTTGTTAGCCTCAATATTTTTAAAAGTGTCTTCACATTTCAAAGGGCAGGAAAGATATTCCTAGTCGTAAGCAAGAGGTTGGGCCTCACCTAAATACAAAACAAAACTCAAGAGATGAGCATTATCCAACACTTATTAAATATTAAGATGTTCATTCATTCACTTTGAGCCGACGTGGGACACTTTTCATCATGCATATGGGGTAATAACATTGATAGGGAAAAGTTTGGTAAATTCCTTGAAAACAAGAGAATACCTTTCCCACCAAGGGTTGATTGGAATTACTTTCAAGTACTTTACTGAGAACAACATATTTACCTTCCTAAGGATTTAAATGAAAGGAAGGCGCCAAATGTCCTCTATGAGTTGAAACCACATAAGTATGGTTTTCCGTAAAAGGAAGTACTGTGAAGAACGGGTAAACCACAGGAAAAAAGATAGACATTTGTAATTTCCTTCCTCACCGTGATTTTTTATCTAACGAGTCACCAACGATTGGTTGTTCAATCCATTGTTTGGAATGAAATTAAATCAATACCATACATCCTAGGTTTATGTGCATATACAAATTCATAGTATTAAGTTATTAGTATTAATGTTAGGGCTCGTTTGGTATGATGCAAAAGTAAACACTTTACGTGTAAAGTGTAGGGAAGTAAACATTTTACACTGTTTGTTTTAAATATATAATGTAAACTGTAGGACACTTTTTTAAACCATTTTACATTGTACCATGTAAAATATTTTACATGGGGGGAGGGTAGTAAAGTATTTCACATCCATTAATAAGGAGCGTAAAATATCAATTTACTACGTAAACCTAGGTTTTAGAAGACCGCAGTTCGGCGGCAAAGGAAAATCTGGGCGGCATGTTTTATATACAGGTTGCTAGTAGTCCAGCAGCTGTCTGGTTCAATACTTGCAACGTGTGTACAGATGGGCAGGCCTTAAACACTCCCTTGAATCAGAAGAAGCTTAATTTTGTGTATATTGTTATCTACAGCTAAGCCAATGCCAATTTTGACTCGTGGCATGTATTATGCTTACTAATGCTCTCTACGTCTTCTCAGAAACATATTTAGCTAGAAACATGTTGTATTTAATACAAGTTTACAATATTTTCTTCTCAAATTCAAAGGTTGCAGGCCATTCTCTGATTCTATGCTATAGATTCTCTGGCACCGTTTAATTTGGTCAACTGTGAGCTATGTAGTTTAGTAGTTACTTTATGACACTGTAAAGAGTTTGCATGTAATATAAACAGATTACACACATGACGAAATGATGTATTTTTATTTTACATGTAAATTATTTTACAGCCCTAAACTTTACATGCAATCACTTTGCATGTAAAGTTTTAATCAGTGGCGGAGCTATGTTGGTTCCAAGTTGTTCACATGAACACCTAGAATTGTAAAAAATAAGCTAATATACATGTATAAATTTAATTAATTACGGAGTATTTATTGGCTTTTCAAATTTTAATTATAGAAAATAAATGAACACCCATGCTTTGAAACATAGATCCGCCACTGGTTTTAATATGTAAACTATCAAACGGGCCCTTATAGTTCAGTTTAACAAATTGATAGGTTATTAGGTTGCTAATTTTCTATTTAACACGTGTTCGAAAAAGGCCTAATTTTTATCTGGTTGTGCAGAGCCTTTGTTTTCTTAGCACGGGCCCTGTACATAAGTTCCACACACAAAAAAAAACTTTATCAAACCAGAAATCAGGTTACCATTAGAACATTAGTTATCCTGCAGTCTTAACTCTGCTATAGTCTAGGAATATGTTCGAAGAACTAAGCTATGGAGTAGGAATTCTTAAGCAGAGAAAAGAATTCGAAGAGAATAGAATTGCATTAGAGGGACTGTGTTATTACAAGCAGGCATATGTACAAAGATGGCCGAATGCCTTATTTATAGCCTTTTGGTATTAATTCAGTTGGATCTTTTATTTACTAACAAACTACCTATCCAACTGTTTATTCCTGGCCCACCTAACTGTCTCAACCACCCAGTTACATATCAAACTCAACCTTAAAATACACAATTTAGTATTATCAGAAATGGGTTGGTTACGATCCAAGGGAATACAATAAGCAAACAAAACAAAACAATGATTTAATGATAAAATGCATAAACCTGTAGAAAGGGTCGACCGAATACGCGAATGGTGGGTCGAGTCCAAGGAATGTTCTTGTTAAGGTATTCAAAATAATGCCAAGATTGGTCGTAGGACAGGAATTTGGATATATAGATCACCTCGCTCCCATTCCCAAGATCCACTTCTTTTCTTGAACTTTTTACTATTGCGACGGCTTCCTCATCCTCAGTCTCGAGTTGCCTGCTGCTCTCAGGTTTTAGGATAAGGTTCGTCGCCATTTTTAGGAAGAGAAAGATCATAAAAGCGGGATACCAGGGATCTGAACCAGGGAGTTTGGAACAAAGTTTGTCAATTTCAAAATAAGGTTCACCTAGGTTTTTCACTATTTTTAAGAAAGAAAATAATATACTATCCTCCCTTCTATAATTCTTGCAACAGTTTGACTTTCACGGTTGCCAATGCACAATTTTTACTGTAATTATATTTAATTATATATTAGTAAACGTTATAAAAAGTTGATATTTTGGAAATTCACATTGATAAGAGTTCAACAACATTTTATACGTAATAATTTGATTATGTATATTAGTAGAAAATCATGGTCAAAGTAAAATCTGTGAATAGTGTAAAAATCACAATGTTGCAAGAATTATAGAACAGAGGAAGTAAATAATATATAGATGATCTAGGGTTAAAAAACAGGAAAATTAGTATGTTTAGGAAAAACTTACTAAAAATGAAAAGGACGACAACTTAAAAAAAAACAATGGCATCAATATTAGTATATTACTCCCTAAGTTTCTAATTCTAAAAATATAACCATTTTACTTTTTTCCCAAAAAAGTGACCACTTCCCTCTCCATTTGGGTCTCAATTGAGGGAAAAGGAGGACAGAACTTATAGTCGAAGAAATGTGCAGAAAAGTTGAGAAGGACTCTCGAGAGGCTCTGAACGATTCGTATATTAAGAAATATACGAATAATTCTTCGTGATTTCATCCATTCTTTATAAAAATAAGTCAAAAAGTTGAAGAACGTTCGAAAATCTGAAGAAGAAAGCTTGAAGATTCGAAGATTCGAAGAACAAGGCTTTGAAGATTCGAAGATATGATGAATGACTCTTTGAAGATTTGAAGATATTCATATGAAGTTTGAATCAAGATTCATCTGAAGATCAAGCCATATATCCCGGAAAGCCCTTAAACAGAAGATCAAGCCATAAAACGATCCTTTTGTTGAAGATAAAGCTACTTGAAAACCGGAGGCCCTTCAAGCTGAATTCATTATTCAAGAATATTCAAAGAACAAAACTTTGAAGATTTGAAAATCCAAATAACGAAGGTTCGAAGATTTGAAAATATGAAGAACGTTCGAATATTTGAAGAATTAAAGCTTTAATTTCAAGTTAAATTCTTTAATTATATTATTGCAAGTAAAAATTAGAGGATTCATATTTAGAGATTGTACCTGATATTCTCATATATTATTATCTGCGATCAATTTTAAGTAAATACTTAAAATTTGTTTCACCAACCACGCAATTTCACTTTTTCTTAAAAACCACACAACACCCCTTTGTCCCAAACTTAGAGGGACATAGATAGTAATTAAAATACATGTAATACATCTTTCAATTTTTTTTCTCTAGAATGAGTACTTCCATGTCCCTCAAAACTTTGTCAAGTTTGACCGGCACAGGGAATATTAAAGTAAAACTATGTCGTTAAGTTTTGTGCAGAAGAAAGAGAAATGATAGGAATCATAAAATGATTGACTAAAATGAAAAGTAACAAAGTTTTGGGACAACAAAAAATGAATAGATGACAAAGTTTTAAGGGACAAAGAGAATATGAAGTAAGATTAAAAAATTAAACCCCAAAGTGGCGTAATTTTATATCGGAATGTTCGCATAAAAAAATTGATCTATAATTATAAAAGTAAGATTTTAATATAAAAAAATTGTTGAATGAATATATTGACAGTATTGAATTGCAATATAAACTGAATTAAGCAAAGGAATGCAAATAAACTAGTGAAAACTTAGATATATTGATGGACCTGAGTTAGTGTTATGTAACAAGGTAGACTAAGGAAGGGTTTTAAATACTCCCTCCGTTCTATAAAATCCTTCTAATTTTCCTTTTTCCATCGTTCCAAAAAAAATCTCCCCACTTACTATTTTTGAACCATTTATAGGGCTCACATTTCTCCTTAGAGCATCCGCAATGCAACTCTTTCTAGTCTAAATTAATTATGCCAAATGTCAAATTATTAAATGGCTTTCTAATGCACATAATAAATAGTGGAGTGATTAAGCATTAACACATGAAAGGAGTCTCCAATGCATAAAGTCTCAAAGTCGAAGTTAAATGATGATAATGTGCAATTTATTTAATAAAAAGCTATTTTTTCTTAAAATGGTTACCCTACAAAATCAATATTTTAATCGTAAAGCAATTATAAAGATGTAATTCATGTAATACGTAATAAATAATTAAATATGGCTTTTGCTCTGGAGGGATTCTTGAAGTTATATACGTTTCTCACATGGTTTATATATACATATTATATTATATTATTATATACTCCGTATATATATATATATGTACACATATAATTATATACTCCATATATTGATAAAACTTAGATCTCGTGAGTATTCTCACCGAATCTCAGCGTTTGTGATTATATATATAATCTATATAGTGCGTATTAGGGCATCCACATCCATAGATTATTTTTGAGATCATTTTGATGATGTGGAAGATTTTTTTTGGATCATGGATGAGGAGTTGGGATTATTTTATGAGATTATTTGATAAAATAATCTGGTATCAAATTCTAAAGGTGGATTATTTTGAGATTATTTTCAACTTCTAGGCATATACTCATAATTATGATGATGACTAGTTTGTTAGGAATTTAATTCACGCACACGAAAAACAATAATGAAGAACACACGAAATTTGGTAACCCAGTTCGCCACGAATGACTACGTCTGGGGGCGCTATCAAGCCAGAAATATTATTGTTATTTTCGGATCCACACACAATGATTACAAGGGAGAGAACTTGTATTTATAGAGAAGTAAATCATAACCCCAAGGCAACTAGGATGTGTTTCCTAAAATAAATTAAGAAACGTGTTTCCAAAAATAAATTAAGAAACTGTCTCTAACACCTTACAATCTCCCACCTAGAGACTGTCTTCTTCAAACCTCCCTTGTAAGCATGGTAGCGCCGGCCTTCATCTTCAAGTACCCAGGCCAATTGAAGCAATGCAAAGCTTTAATTTCTCCAAGGTTACCACCTTAGTAAACATGTCTGCTGGATTCTCACTCCCACGGATCTTCACGAGCTGTAATGCCTCTATCTCAAGAAGATGACGAATGTAGTGATACTTCAACCGAATGTGTTTGGTTCTCTTGTGAAAAGCTGAGTTGTTGGTCAAGAAGATAGCACTTTGACTGTCACTATAAAGAATGATATTCTTGTACTCCTTCCCAAGTTCCCCAAGTAGATTCTGAAGCCACACCATCTCCTTACTTGCCTCCGTAATGGCCACATATTCAGTTTCAGTGGTAGATAATGCAACAATCTTCTGCAACTGCGAAAGCCGTGAAACCGCCGTTCCACCAAATGTAAAAACATACCCGGTGGTGCTCCTCGATCCATTCGAGTCATTCGATGCCAGGTCTGCATCAACATGTCCCAGCAGCTCTACATTGATCCAAGATGAGGTACTTTCAAATACCTCATGATCCACTTCACAGCTTCCCAATGTTCTTTCCTGGGGTCTCCCATGAATCTGTTCACTACTCCCACCGCATGTGCAATGTCTGGCCTTGTGCACACCATCGCATACATTATGCTGCCAATTGCCGATGCGTATGGGACATTCTGCATTTGAGCACGCTCCTCCTTGTTCTTCGGTGAGTCTTCCTTGCTAAGCTTGAAGTGACTACCCAACGATACACTTGCTGCCTTTGCATCTTGCATTCTGAATCTTTCCAAGACCTTCTGAATGTATTCTGTCTGTGAAAGATACAATTTGCCCGCTGCCTCATCCCTCTCGATTCGCATGCCCAAAACTTGTTTCGCCTCTCCAAGATCCTTCATGGAAAAATGTTCTGACAATTGTTTCTTCAGCTTCTAAATCTCCTTTGAACTAGCTCCTGCAATCAACATATCATCAACATATAATAGCAAGATAAGATAACAGTTCTCGGTCTTCTTGTAGTAGCAGCAATTGTCGGCGTGACATCTCAAGAAACTGAATTCACGCATGAAACCATCAAATTTCTTGTACCACTGCTTCAGTGCTTGCTTCAACTTGTATAAGCTCTTCACTAGCTTACATACGAGATTCTCACTGCCTTCCGCCACATAGCCCTCCGGTTGCACCATGTAAATCTCATCATTCAGATCACCATGAAGGAATGCAGTCTTCACATCCATCTGATGTAACAACAAATTCTCTGCAGCAACTAACCCCAACACTAACCGAATAGTAGTATGTTTCACAACTGGAGAGAATATGTCGGTGTAATCAATACCATAACGCTGCTCAAACCCCTTCACAACCAGCCTAGCTTTGTAGCGTTTCCTACCATCTGCCTCCTTGATGCGGTAGACCCACTTGCAGTGCAAAGCCTTCTTTCCTCTTGATAGCTCAACTAACCTCCAAGTATCATTGGATGTGAGAGATGCCATCTCATCATCCATTGCAAGTTTCCACTTGCTCTTGTCATCAACCCAAACTGCCTCTGCATAGGACTCCGGTTCACCACCATCAGTAAGCAACAAATAGAAATTAGAAGGCGAATACCTATTTGGTGCTCTCCGGTTTCTGGCAGGCCGCTGCCTTGGTGGGGTTGATGGATCTTCATCACTGCTCAACTCTTCATTCTGATCCCAATTGCTCCCACCCGAATTAGAGATATCTAACTTAATGATCTTCAGATTATCTTGCTCTGAATTAGAAACACTCAATCTGTCCTTGTACATAACCTGCTCGTTGAACATCACATCTCGACTACGAATAATCTTCATATTCTGATCATCCCAGAATCTGTATCCATAGTCATCACCACCATAGCCAATATACGTACACTCGACAGATTTAGCGTCTAGCTTGCTTCGAACAATTGAATTAATATGAACATAAGCAACACAACCAAATATGCGGAGATAGGACAAATTAACCTCCTTATCCGTCCACCTTTCTTCAGGAATGACATTCTCCAACGAGATTGTTGGACTTCTGTTGATGAGAAAAGTCACGGTGTTCACTGCATCCGCCCAAAACATCTTCGGTAAGCCACTCTTCAACCTCATGCATCTAGCCCGCTCATTCAGTGTTCTATTCATGCGTTCAGCAACGCCATTATGCTGCGGAGTCCCCTTTGTTGTCTTCTCCATACGAACCCCATTCTCAGCACACAAAACTTCTTGAACTCATGCAGCTCATACTCACCTCCGTTGTCAGACCGAAGGCACTTTAACTTCAGACCCGTCTCTGTCTCAACAAGAGCTTTCCACCTCCTGAAATCATCAAAGGCATCGAATTTATTTTTGAGAAAATAAACCCACACCTTTCTTGTAGCATCATCAATAAAGGTCATGTAGTAGGCGGATCCTTCTAAGGATGTAACTTCTGCTGGTCCCCAAAGGTCGGTGTGAACTAGTTCCAGCTTCTCCGGTTTAATTGATTGTCTTCCCTTTGAGAAACTGGCACGTTTCTGTTTCCCGAATATACAGTCCTCGCATAAGCCAACCTCAACAGTCTTCAGGTCGGGCAGTTTGCCCTTCGAGCACAGCTCCTTCATCCCCTTTTTCGCTCATGTGACCGAGACAACAGTGCCACAAATTCACATCGTTTGTTGCAGCGGCAGGAACATCGATGCAGTACTTTGAGTTCGTTGTCATGTACAGCGTACCCCCTTTCTTCCCCTTAGCAACCAGCAAGGCCCCCTTGGTGATCTTCCAATTTCTGCTGCCGAATGTAACTGCATAACCTTCCTCATCCAGCTGCCCAATTGAAAGAAGATTCCTCCTCAAACCAAGAATGTGTCAGACACCATTCAGTTTCAGAATGCATTCGTTCGGAGTCTTCACGTGGACTGTCCCCTTCCCAACCATTTTAAGAGGCCCATCATCAGCAAGATACACCTCTCCAAAATTGCCGGGAGTATACTGTTCCATCACTTCAGAATTACCACATGAATGGAACGAGGCTCCAGAATCCAGAACCCATAACTCCAACGGACTGCTCACGCTCAGGATCAGGAGATCATCGCCAGATGATTCTGCCTCTGCGTTGGCAGATGTCTTCTCCATCTGATTCTTGATCTACTCCTTACACTGGCTCTTGAAGTGTCCGTACTCCTCACAATTCCAGCACTTGATCTGACTTCTGTCCTTCTTGCCCTTGCTGTTTGATTTGGGTTTGGATCTTGATCTATCCCGATTTGACTTGGATTTCGACTTCGTTCTGCCCTGGTTCTCTGTACTCAACGCCGATCCAGAAGCCAAGTCTCATTCCTTCCTGCGAATTTCTTCGCTGATCACCAGATTTGACTTCATCGAATTTCAGTTTCTCCTTACCCGCAGAAGCGCTGACTGCAGTCACCGTTCCGTTCCAGCTTTCCAGGAGAGAAGACAACAAAATTAGGGCATGAATTTCGTCGTCAAATTTTATCTCAACCGTGCTCAACTGTGTGGTGATTACATTGAACTCGTTGAGATGATCCACCACCCCCGTACCTTCTGACATCTTTAGATTAAAAAGATGCCTCATCAGATGAACTTTGTTCACGGCGGATGGTTTTTCATAGATATCCGACAAAATCTGCAATATCTCCTTTGTCATTTTTGCTTTGACGGTATGTAGGGCGATGTTTCTGGACAGCGACAATCGAACCACGCTCATCACTTTTCTGTTTAGCAACTTCCAGTCGCTCTCCTTCATGTCTTCCGGTTTATCATCCAGAGGTTGATACAGATCTCTACCGTACAGGTAATCTTCAATCTGCAACTTCCAGAATCCATAATCCGTTCCGTCAAACTGCATCACCTGCGTCTTCGTATTGTCTGCCATCGTGAGATCTCCCTTCGAACCCAGGGCTCTGATATCAATTGTTAGGAATTTAATTCACGCACACGAAAAACAATAATGAAGAACACACGAAATTTGGTAACCCAGTTCGCCACGAATGACTACGTCTGGGGGCGCTCCAAACCAGGAATATTATTGTTATTTTCGTATCCACGCACAATTATTACAAGGTAGAGAGCTTGTATTTATAGAGAAGTAAATCCTAACCCCAAGGCAACTAGGATGTGTTTCTTAAAATAAATTAAGAAACGTGTTTCCAAAAATAAATTAAGAAACTGTCTCTAACACCTTACATAGCTTTGTAGTTCGTGCATGTTCATGCTCCTATCCAAGGTAAATTAAGATCATGAATGAGGAGATTATTTGAGATTATGTTATGTGGAGGTGACATGACAATAATAAGTTATGAAAAACCATAAAATTGAAGATCATCAATGTGAATGCTCTTACATATAGGGCTGGGCAAAAATACCGAAATATCGGTATACCGCACTTACCGTACCGAAAAATACCGGAGTATTGGTATACCGTCATTTTCGGTACAGTATCATACCGTACCGATTTATTTTGGTACGGTAACGGTAAATGTTTTCAAATACCGCGGTATACCGGTATAATACCGTACCGACTCCCTACCCAATAATTACTTTTAATTCTAAAATACTGTAAAAATCCATTACAATTTTGAAGTCCAAAATTAATACTTAAGTTGGTTACAAATACCAAAATACAAAAATAAAAGTGCAATTTCCTAAACTCACTATAACGTTTTAGGCTTCTACTACATAACATTCAAACAAACTGACGACTAATAAGTAATATACTAATGTCGAGACACACAACTATGTCTGAAAGTCTTATCAAATATTTTTTTTAAAAATTATAAAAATGACTAAATGCATAATACCATATTAGGAATAAATGATTTCTTTTATATCCATGTTGTTTGAATAATTTTATTTATTTTTGCTAGAGATCACTATTGATTTAATTATATCTATATTGTTCAAGTTATTTTAGGAGAATGTGTTATTTATTAATACGTGACATACTGGCATGTTAAACTACTTAAATATACTAATGATAATTATTGCTCAATATTGAATTGACATCAATAGATTATTAATTGTATTTTGTAACATTTTAATATTAGATTAAATATGTCGCTAGTAACAACGATTTAGTATATTTCATTGGTCTATGATAATTTATTATATTGGGAGACATTCATGGTAATTTACCGATACCGTACCGTTACCGAACCGAAACTTCGGTATACCGAAATGCGGTATACCGAAACTTCGGTATGATAACGGTATATAAATTTTGTATACCGAAAGTTTCGGTACGGCAAAGGTATGAGAGAAAATATTCGGTATACCATACCGAACCACCCCTACTTACATATTTGGATATACTAAGTATATAATAATAGTATCCGTTTGTGAGTCTTACTAGGAGAGTAATTATCGACCAATTATCCATATTCGTGTGACTCGTGTGACATGATGACTGCTGCTGCTTATTTCTTTGTTTTTTTAATACTAGTAGCTTTTCTTGAAAGAACAGAGCTCCTGGTTCTTCAAGACTGCTACAGAAATCCTTGGGAGAAGAAAGAATGTATGCTTTTGCCCCTTCAAATGGACTCGCACATCACTCTCCACAGAGCAAAAGCTTCAGAAGACGTACTTCGTTACAAATCCCCAACCAATTTCAGGTAAAACCACTTACATTTTCTTACTTACGTTTTTCAAAACCCTCTGGGTTGTCTATTCGGAAGAATTTGAAAGCTGTGTCCTCCATAGCTCCCTCAGCCATAGAAACCCCCAAAGTCTCATTCAGAGAGAAAAGCCCAAGTGAGATCAATGTTTTGGTTGTGGGTTCAACCGGCTATATAGGGAGCTTTGTAGTCACAGAGTTGGTCAAGAGAGGGTTCAACGTTATAGCGGTTGCTAGGGAGAGAAGTGGGATTAGGGGTAAGAACGGCAGAGAGCAAACGCTGCAGAGGTTAAAGGGTGCTAATGTGTGCTTTTCAGATGTGACTGATATGAATGCCTTGGAGAAGAGCATAGACCAATTAGGGTCTCCTATTGATGTGGTTGTGTCTTGCCTCGCTAGTCGGAATGGCGGGGTTAAAGATTCCTGGAAGATTGATTACGAGGCCACGAAGAACAGTCTTATTGCCGGGAAGAAATTCGGAGCTACCCATTTTGTGTTGCTTTCTGCAATTTGTGTCCAAAAACCCCTTCTTGAATTCCAAAGAGCCAAGTTGAGGTTCGAGGCTGATCTGATAAGAGAAGCCGCGGGTGGTGGTAGAGAGGAGAGGAGGCGGTTCACTTATAGTATTGTTCGGCCGACTGCGTTTTTCAAGAGCTTAGGCGGACAAGTCGAATCCGTGAAAGAAGGAAAGCCTTACATCATGTTTGGGGACGGGAAGTTGTGTGCTTGCAAGCCGATAAGCGAAGCGGATTTGGCATCGTTCATAGCAGATTGTGTACTGAGTGATGACAAAATCAACCGGGTTTTACCTGTTGGTGGTCCTGGGAAGGCATTGACACCTTTGGAGCAAGGGGAAATGCTGTTCAGGTTATTAAGGAAGAAACCTAAATTTCTTAAGGTACCAATCCAAATCATGGATTTTGTTATCGGGCTTCTTGACTTGTTCGTGAAGATGTTTCCTTCGCTGGAAGATGCAGCTGAGTTCGGAAAGATTGGAAGGTACTACGCGGCCGAGAGTATGTTGGTTTGGGATCCTGAGAAAGGGGAGTATGATGCTGAGAACACTCCAAGTTATGGAAATGACACTTTGGAGGATTTCTTTGAGAAGGTGATTAGGGATGGAATGGCGGGTCAAGAATTGGGGGAGCAAACCATTTTCTAATCTTCTTCCAGTTTCACCCTTTTATTTTGCAAATTGAAATTTCTCAACACCATTTCACCAATCTTTATGACTTCCCCATTTCTTGTATAAAATTTCAAGCAGGTGCAGAGGATACACCAATACACCATTATGTTTTCTTTCTTTACACCTACATAGGTGATTTAATGTCCATTGTGTATGACATTAAGAATTGAGGCAGCTATCTGTTGTTGATGTTGAGTGTCTTAACATGCACTTGTAAAGTGATCATACATTTAGCATTCCGTCTGTGAAGCTTATTGCGATCAAATTATTCGTCTGAGCTTAAAATGCTCTTATAATATAAAACTATGTATAGCACCCGTGTGATGTATGGTATATTATTTCATTCTTTGAATGTGTTTTCGGAATATTTGAAATTAATATAACTATAATAAAAAAGAGTGTAAATTCAACATGGCAAACTCACATAATTAAACATGAACAATATAATTTAATGTATTACAATTTCTTAAACACTTCCTTACCTGTTATTGTTGAGGATCGATTCCGTCACCGGATTCCGGCTCAGGCAGTCCGGACGTCGGTTTTCCGATTGTCTCTTGTGCACACCTAGGCTAAGGGAGCAACACACCTTTCTAACCTCGCCAACACTCACACTCACCTCACCAAGAAGGATGGATAGTTTGGCTCACTCACTGGATTCACTCATCTCACCATGCTCACACATAAAGGGGCTAGGAAGAAAAGGATGAGATGCCCTATCTCTCATACACTCCGCAGGTTACAAGAAGGGTGCAAGGGCTGTCCTTATAGCAAGGGATATTTGGTCTTATTAGAAGGACACTCAAATAATACACTGCACACACAACTCATCACTAGGCAATAATGAGTTCAGTTTGAATTCTAACTGAAGAGAAAAAATACTGATAGGCTAAACAGATAAATGGGTACAGTGTAGTGGGCTGCTAGAAAGTGTGTTGACCATTATTAATATACAAAAAACGTTTGGGCCAACAATATATTAACAATCTCCACCTTTGACCCAAGGTAGTGCACTTAGACAATCACGGAACCGCGGACTCATCATTGCCGGATCATTACAAGTATAATCACAAAGACAATACAAGTAATAGAGACACACAAGTACTCTCGGGGTAAAATCAACAATTTCTTAAACACTTCCTTACCTGTTTTTTTGTTATATTGGTATCTTTACCATACAGTCAAGCCTGACTTAAAACTTGTTTTTTAAGTTGACTAAATTGATCATCACTCACTTGAATGTTCGAGTAACCATCTGAAACTTGAAAACACTTGAATGCTCATGATAGAGAGCAGAGAGATCAAGGGGCGGGAACGGGCTTGGGCCCACCTCTATGGGCTGGTTGTGGGCTAGGGTTATATTTATATATATTATTATAAAGTTTATGTTATGTTTTCTAGTTTGGGCCTATTATTAAGTAGAGTATTTAGTAGAGTTAGTATGAGCTTAATTAGGATTTATTTAATTTGGGCTCATTAGGGTTTCTCTTAGAAGACTATTTATACCCCTTGCCAGCCTGCCACGGTTCATTCTTGCTTATCTTGGAATAAAATTGGTTTTAGCCTCTGGGTTCTGGGCAACGGTATTTTTATGGTTGATTATCTGGGCAACGGTTTACCCTGTTAATTTTTATTTTTATGTGCACAACAGTTCATGACATGCCTTCTGTACAAACACATGATTTAACTGATCTATACGATATTGTGGTACGATGCGATTGTTGAATAAAAGCTTCCACATGAAAGTGATTCAAACACAGGTTGGGTTTATAACACATTTGATAGATGGTGAGGATGAGAGTTTCTCTTTAAACACAAGTAGGCCACTCCACCTATTGCATAAGATCATAATACTCTCAATAACTCTAATAAAATTAAACTAATGTCGTTGTCGTTGCTCAGAGACTCACCAATCGTCGCCACACAGCCTACTATCACCGTCGTCCACTATTAAAGCTAAAGGTTACAAAACTTGTTATAAACCGGAAAGGTAAATAACCAAAATAAATGGATCAAGTCCCGGACTCGCGGTTGACATTTACCAAGTATTGTAAATAACAAAAAGAAATTTACACAACGACAAAAACGAAAACAATTTGAGAAAATAAAATATAAAAATAACATCATTAGATACAGATGTACAAAAGTATCCTTATTGAGTATATGAAACCTTTTACAATAATGGAAACTTCACAGTGAGGATTGAAAAGATGATGTCGGTGTTCACTCCTTCAACAAGATGGTGATCTATCAAATTTAGATCGAGTCGGGATGCCAACATTTTTATCCAGTCATTCACTCTCTTTATATATCATGGAGTGACACCGACACCATCAAATATTTTTCTCTATATTCCATAATAAAACTTAAAAAATAAAAATGTATTTTATCCCGTGCACAGCACCGGTAAAAATAGTAGTATTAATAAATGTAAGAGTACACGTTTATATATAAAGATGACCCTATAAAGATACGGAGATATATATGGACCATCTTATGGAGAATATTTTCTCATTAAGATGGAATATTATTTTCTGGAAAATGTTCTTACATAATAATACACATTCAGTTTGCTTTATTTAGCAGTTAGATTAAAGAACCGTCCAATTTCCGGCACTAAGTATTTCATTATTAACATAATAAAAGTGAGAGCTAGCATTACGCTGGTCTTTGAAAATCAATGATGACCAGTTAACTTACCTATGGATGGCCCCAAATGAGTTTATAGTATACATACATATAAAACTGCCGGCTCGTCTTTGAATACTTTCCCCGGGCCATTTTTGAAACACCAAAACAAACCCACAACAGGAAAAAAAAAAGTGTATTTGGAAAAATATTTGATTTTGAACAAGATCATTAGATTTCAAAGCCGTATAAAGTTTTTGTTTCTTGAATTCCATGGTCGATTAGATTGATCTTCCAATTGTCAAAGCAACACAGTTTTGTTGGCATATATGCACGAGGAATTGGATCAGGTTGGTTAATCATCAGCCTATGAATATGATAACTTTCATAACGTCAATTCCAGGGGAAAAAATATACGTAGCATTAGCGAAGCATTTGTTATGTAATGCATGTAAAATAATTTATTTTCCATCGAGTATTTCTATGAACTTAGTTGTGTTTCATTTTCATAACACCGGAGCCTGTCTGATTATTGTGAGTTTTGGTTGAATTTGTAGACATTGCAAAATTAAGGGCGCGTTTGGCATTTAGCGGTTAGCGTTAGCAGATGGTGGATTATATTAGCGAAATGAGTTGGGAGGTTATCAGAACATGTTTGGTAATATAGCTATATGGCCGGGAAAATGCCATATTTCTAAATGCTAACTCAAAACTCTCTTATTTGTAGCGTTTGCATTTCAACGATTCCATTCAAAAACGCTAGTGCCGAACAACTATTTACCAAACAACGTTTTCACTTATTGAAAACATTAAAAGTGGTCAAACTGCCATTTTTTGGCTGAAGTGTCATTTGCCAAACACCCCCTAAATTGACAAAATATCAACAACAAAATTAATTTACATATCTGCAGCTTCATGGCCACTTTGATAGCCTTGAATATGGCAGTAAGTGCTCATTTTTGGGTTGCTAAACTTGCTGAATCATCGAGAGAGAATTAGTTACTAGCATTTTTTTCTTAAGAAATGATGTTACATCCAAATCAATGCTAGATATCTCATTTAAATTCATTTCATCAATTTCAGTTAAAAATTCATCTTGTGGAATGTGAATTCTGCAGTTGGTAGCCTAGGACAGCAGTTGTTATATGCAAGTGTTAAAATGTTTGGGTTCAGCATAAGAACAAGGCAGAATAATGTATCTGCATCTCCAAGAACAACAGACTCACCAAGGGTCACTGCTGGTTCACCAGCCTCTGCTGGTTCACCAAGACATATGGGCACCCCAGGGACCAAAGGCTCCCCTAAACAAGTTGAGGTTGGGGAGATTGACACAAGTGCTCCTTTTCAATCCGTCAAAGCTGCTGTTAGTTTATTTCGTGAAGCCGGTGCTTCCCCTATGTCACAGCCTGCCACAATCAAGAAATCTGCAAAAACTCTCGAAGAGGTATAGTTCCTACTTCCTAGTGCCCATATCATACATTTACACATCTTCTTTGGGATCGATTTTCACCATGTGTTACATCATGATCCGTTCAATGCACGTGACGAAAATCTAACAACTGGAATACTAGTACTAGGTGGAATGGAGGATAGTGTACCCGCCTTTGCTGATCTTATTATAGGAGTAACTCAATATTTATGTGTTCGGGTTTTTATGAAATGGCTGTTGTAACTCGATTGAGCCTAGTATGCGCTCATCTTCTCTTCAAGGTTGTTAGTCATCAACGACAAGTAGTTAAACAAGTTAATTTGGTGTTCAATGTTTACCCCACATCAGATAGTGGGGTACTTATTTTTCTTTCTTTCTGTTTTGGCTATCTGAAAGTGGTGTCACCTTGTTTGCTTTTGGCAGCGAGTTTTGGTGAAGGAAACTCAGCTTCACTTGATAATGAAAGAGCTGGACGGGTTGAAAGAGCAGCTTAGAAACACAGAAGCCACAAAACTGCAAGCTCTTCGGGACCTAGAAAAGGCCAAGAGAACGCTCCACGATCTCACCAGCAAACTAGAAACCGTCTGCGAGGCAAAGCAGGCTGCCATCGAGTCAACGGAAGCCGCTAAAGTTAAAGCGAAAGAGCTCGAAATGCAGAAATCTAGCAAACCTGCTGCCATCTCTGGAGACGATGCCTGGAAACTTCATGTCGACAGCGAGAGAGAACAGTACAAGGCCTCAGCCGGGGAACTCAACTATGCCAAACAAGAGCTGGCCAATCTAAGACAAGACTTTGACGCGGTTTTGGAAGCTAAACTCTCGGCATTCCAAGAAGCCGCTGACGCTCACCACTTAACTGCGGTCAACCGGGAGAGGGCGAACGAGTTTGCAAAAGAGGTCTCAGCTCTGCGTGAAACGTTAGCTCAGGTGAAACTCGCTCCTCTCCAGGCCCAAGAAGAGAACGCAAAGTTAAACGCAGAGAAAGAATCCCACCTGCATAGTCTGAAAATGGCCAAGGAAGAGGCAGACAGGAAACTGAGCATCCTGAGAGAAGAAGCAGATCCTGCAGTGAACAAAAGTCTGGCAGAGAAGCTTGAAGAAACAAACGCCATGATCGAGGTTCTCCGAGAACAGCTAAACAACGTCAAGGTTTCAGACAACACAGCATGGAGAGAAGTGAGCGCCGAGAAGGAGAATGCTGAGAGAGCTTTGCAAGAGATTCGTGCAGAGGAAGAATCTTTAAAGAGTCTTGTGGATTCTCTCAGGGAAGAGCTGGAAAACGTGAATAAGCTCCGGGCTGAGTTGAGAAACAAGGCGGAGGAAACAGATTCTCTGGCGGAGAGATTGCGGGTGGAGCTTGACAGAAACAAGAAGGAGCTTGAAGCAACTATCGCAGGAATTACAAAGCAAGAGGAGGAAATAAATGCAAAAATCCAAGAACTGTCCTTAGAGGCAGACCGGGCAACTAGGGAAGCCGAGGATATGAAAAAGAGCGCAGACATTTTCAAACAGGAAGCGGAAGCTGCCCGAATCGCGACTCGGGCAGCAGAAGAGAAGCTGGAGGTTGCTCTAAAAGAAGCAGAGGAAGCAAAAGCAGCACAGAGAGTCGCAGACTATAAAATCCACAATGCATCAAGAAAGTTTACCGCCTGTAATGGAGAAGAAGATCAGGCTGCTGCTGCTAATATATCAGAGCCTCCAAATGGAGGGATCAAGCTGTCAAATGAGGAATACCAATCTCTGTGCCACAAAGTAGAAAAGCTTAAAACCGAGGCCGATATAAAGGTGGCAACGGTAATGGCCCAAGTGGAGAGCATCAATAGGAGCGAGAAGGACTTGGTGAAGAAAGTGGAAGAGAGGATGAGGGAGGCTGAGGAGGTGGAAGCTGCAACCAGAGATGCAGTGAAGAGGGCAGAAGTAGATGAGGCTGCCAAACTAGTCGTTGAAGGGGAGTTGCTCAGGTGGCGTCATGAAGAGGGTAATAATCTCGTAGCAGAGGAGACTCTGATTGAAGGACGTTAAAAAATCAAAATCATAGAGATATCTATTACTGTACAGTATCTTTCTGTCGTGCATAGTTAGTTTAGCATACCTGTTTGTATGAACACAACCATTCCTGCTACATAATACATTAAGGACATTTAATAGCGTCATTTGGTAAAAACGCCTTTGTTAAGGTGTTATCAATGAAATAACAATATCAACTATACATTTTAGATCTTATCAGGTTGACCTTTAAGGTAAAATATCAAATCTTCATTCTCTCTCTACTTAATCAGACTTAATGGTTAATCATCTTATCATTGTATTACCTTAATCCTTCTTCCTTCACACATAATTTAGGATCATTCTCTCTCTACTCAATCCTGAAACATTTCTTCTCCAGGGCTCCTTTCTTCGTTTCTCATCCCAAAATTTTCATCAACCAAACGCCAACCACAATTAATCACTCCGTATTCGAGATTAAATACAAGATTACCAACAAAGCTTCAGTGATTGTTTTCCGAAATGTTGTTACACATGACTTCCAATAAAAATATTTCCTGATTGTGGTGAGCAGAAAAAAGTGTTGAAGACTTGTGTTTCAAATTACAAACTACTCATAAAATTCATTAATTATATCTAAAACATTGTTATAATATGGAAGGAAATAAGCAGAAGATCAGGGAGATAAAGTATAGTATGAATACTTAGTGAGAAAGATGTTATTAGAAGTGTGATAATGGTGTATTTACAATGAAGGAGAATACTCCTATTTATAGGAGAAAATGTAATCATGTCTAGATCAGGGGCTAATTGTGAGCCATACAATTACCATCTAGAAATCATAATTATGATTTCTTATTTATATTAACAATGATGATAAGTGTTCCTGATCATGAATAGTTGGAAGATGACTATTCAATATATTTCAACACTCCCCCTTGAATGGTCATCTTCTAATTATTCTGGGGTATTAGTTTCATAGTATTATAATGTACTGTCTCGTTAAAAACCTTTGTCAAGAAAAACCCAGTGGGATAAAAACCTGACGAAGGGAAAAAGAGTGCAGTGCATTATATTACTCCCCCTCAATTTAACACATATCTCGAAGACGATACATTCCAATTTTATGGACCAGTTCTTCAAATTTCTTCGGTGCCAATGACTTTGTGAACAAATCAGCAGGGTTGTCGCATGACTTGATTTGTTTGACATCAACCGTTCCGTCCTTCTCAAGATCATGTGTGGAGAAAAGTTTTGGTGCTATATGCTTTGTTCTGTCCCCTTTGATGTAACCTCCTTTGATCTGAGCTATACATGCTGTATTATCTTCATAAATCACAGTAGGATTAGAAGTAAAAGATTTTATACCGCATTCATTTTGTATGTGCTGGATCATTGATCTCAACCAGACACACTCACGACCTGCTTCATAAAGAGCAATTAATTCTGCATGATTTGATGATGTTGCAGTTAATGTTTGCTTCATTGATCTCCATGATATAGCGGTATCACCATAGGTGAATAAATATCCTGTTTGTGATTTTGCCTTTTGTGGATCAGACAAGTATCCTGCATCCGCGTAGCCAATTAAAGTGGCATTTGCACCATTCTTGAAATACAATCCAAGATCGATTGTACCATTGAGATATCGGAATATATGTTTGACACCATTCCAATGCCTTCTTGTTGGGGAAGAACTGTACCTGGCTAATAAATTTACAGAAAAAGCAATATCTGGTCGAGTATTATTAGCCAAATACATTAATGCTCCAATAGCACTCAAATATGGTATTTCGGGACCAAGGATTTCTTTATCATCTTCACAAGGTCGGAAAGGATCATCATGCACATTGAGAGATCGAACCACCATTGGAGAATTGAGCGGATGTGCTTTATCCATGTAAAATCGCTTCAAAAGTTTCTCGGTATAATTTGATTGGTGGATGAAAATACCATTTCTCAAATGTTCAATTTGAATGCCGAGACAAAATTTTGTTCTCCCAAGGTCTTTCATTTCAAATTCTTTCATGAGATATTTTGCAGTATTTTCAATTTCATTAGGAGTTCCGATTATATTCAAATCATCAATATATACTGCAATTATGGCGAATCCTGATTCGGATCGCTGAATGAAAACACATGGACTAATAGGATCATTTTTATACCCTTCTTTAATCAAATATTCACTGAGACGGTTATACCACATGCGTCCAGATTGTTTTAATCCATATAATGACTTTTGCAATTTTATGGAAAATAAATCTCGAGATTTCGAGCTATAAGCATCAGGTATTTTAAAGCCTCTAGGAATTCTCATATATATGTCTGTATCGAGTGAACCGTATAAATATGCGGTCACCACATCCATTAGGCGCATTTGCAGCCTTTCAAAAACAAACATGCCAATTAAAAATCTTAAAGTTGTAGCATCAACTACTGGAGAATACGTCTCATCATAATCGATTCCTGGCATTTGAGAAAAACCTTGGGCAACAAGTAGGGCTTTGTATCTAACGATTTCATTTTTCTCGTTGCGTTTACGCACAAAAACCCATTTAAAACCGACAGGTTTTACGCCTTTTGGCGTATGGACAATTGGTCCAAAAACATTACGCTTTTCTAGCGATTTTAATTCTACCTGAATTGCTTCATTCCATTTTGGCCAATCATTTCTACGACGACATTCGTCAATAGATTTAGGCTCATTGTCATCGTGTTCATTCATTATATCTGTGGCGATGGCATATGAAAATATATCATTAACATCAATATCATTTCTATTCCATTGTATTCCATTAGAAACGTAATTAATTGAAATTTCAAAATTATCGACGTTTCTATCTTTATCTGGAATATTTACCTCTTCGAAGGTGATTGGATCCTCTTTTGAGGTATCATTATTGTTGATGTTATCTTCAAGACCGATATTTTCAAAATGTTCATTTTCTTCTTGTGAAGGTTGAACTTCTTTGACATCACAAACTACAACTTGCTGTTTAAATTTTCTTGGTTTCAAATCTCTTGAACCAAGTGGTCTACCACGTTTTTTACGCATCATAGATTCATTAGCAAGTGTTCTTTTGCTAATCTCCACAGAAATTTCTATTCGAGAAGGAGCATTCATAGCTGGAACATGTGACTTTGTCACTTTCTTTGAGTCTGTGAAAGCATCAGGCAATTGGTTTGCAACATTTTGTAAATGAATAATCTTTTGAATTTCTTGTTCACAAGCATTTGTGCGAGAATCAAGAAAAGATAAATTTGTTGCATTCCAAGTAATATCTTTCGTACGTGGGTCCATTTCTTTAATATCTCCCCCTAAGGCTGGGAATACTGTCTCATCAAAATGACAGTCATCGAACCGCGCGGTGAATAAGTCACCGGTCATAAGTTCTAGATAATTAATAATTGAGGGTGATTTAAAACCAACATAAATTCCCAGCCTTCTTTGAGGACCCATTTTAGTACGATAAGGTGGAGCAATTGGTACATACACAGAACGACCAAATATTTTTAGGTGTGATATATTTGGTTCTTTACCAGATATTAATTGTAATGGGGAAAATTTATGATATGCCGTTGGCCTAAGCCGAATTAAATTTGCAGCATGCATTATAGCATATCCCCATGCAGATGATGGTAATCTGGATTTCATCAATAATGGTCTAGCAATTAATTGTAATCGCTTAATTAAGGATTCGGCAAGACCATTTTGTGTATGTACATGTGGAACTGGATGTTCCACATCAATCCCAATTGACATGCAATAGTCATTAAAAGATTGGGATGTAAATTCTCCTGCATTATCAAGTCGGATTTTCTTTATCGAATAATCCGGAAATTGTGATCTCAAACGAATAATTTGAGCAAGGAGATTTGCAAATGCAAAATTTCTAGTCGATAAAAGACTGACATGTGACCAACGTGTTGATGCATTAATGAGCACCATAAAATATCGAAACGGTCCACACGTAGGGGTAATTGGCCCACAAATATCTCCTTGAATTCTTTCTAAAAATGCAGGAGATTCAACTCCAATTTTGTATAAAGATGGCCTGATAATTAATTTGCCAAGAGAACAGGCAGTACACAGAAAATCACTTGATTGTGGAATCTTGACATTAGTTAATGAATGTCCACGTGAATTTTCAATAATTTTGTGCATCATAGTGCTGCCTGGATGACCTAAACGGTCATGCCACAAGATAAAGGAATTGTGGTCATAAATTTTAGATACCACATTTATCTCAATTGGACTGATATATGTATAATACAGTCCTGAGGAATATGCTGGCATTTTTTCAGAAATGTATTTATTGCCAGATCTATTTGTCGTTAGACATAAATATTCCTTCTGATTTTCAGACATGGTTTCAATATGAAAACCATTTAGACGCAAATCTTTAAAGCTCAAAAGATTTCTCCGCGATTTACTAGAGTATAAAGCGTCTTTAATTATTAATTTTGTCCCTTTTGGGAGAATCACACAGGCTATTCCAAAACCTTCAATGAGTTTAGCAACACCTGAGATTGTATTGACATTAGCATCAACTAATGTCATATGAGAAAAATAATCTCTGTCTCAAAATGGTGTGCGTTGTGGTGCTGTTTATTAGACATTATTCAAAACCACTTGGAGAAATTTCAGTTAACTCCATATCTTTGCAAAGATAAAAATGAACAAATATTAATTCAATATTGTAATATAAATTGTACTTCACTTAACAATACATTTAATTGTGCATAAATATTAGTCCAAACATACTCCATATATTACACAACAAGGAGAAGTACTTTATTCTGACTTTTAATAAGAGAAGTAATTTAGCTCACATTTACTTCTTATTAATTTCTACTTCATCATTTGAGATTAGAAACAATCATGAGTGCCGTTATGAGGGGTTATTTCCGGCAATTGACATAAACGTACATAATGACCGTTTTAGTTCAAGTTACTGTCATACCAATTGTTAAGGGGCCCATCTTAACAATCAGAGATCATGTAACTCGGTAAGCAAAAGGTTCATTAAGTACAAAACTTAATTATATGTCCGTTCATAAATAAAGACATTTAAAGAGATGGGAATAACCATGTTGTTTTTGGATTCACTTTACGTCAATGAAAGTCAAATAAGGAAGTAATAATAAACGTCCATAATGTGATGACAAGTCCAAAATCGCTGATTGCTTAGTTCTGAGTAGTCAGTACATATACATATATGCTAAGTAGTACGTACTCCGAATTATATAAACTGATAACTCAATTTAGTACTCCGTATAATATAATTATTACTACTACGGTAGTACGGCTAGTTTGAGTAAGTCATCAAAGCAGGTTCAATATTATTCCAAACTAATGTGTTTGTTATTCAAAATACGAGGATAATACGTATTAGTTACGTATGTAGTTTATTCATGAACATATCTTATTAATTAGAGGGCACGTAGGAGGTACGTTTGTGTATACGTACACATATTGAGAATCATCAGAGACATAGAATAAACTTGTATTCTTAAATGAAAATAATTTAGGTTCCAATTCCATAATCAAATAGTATTATACTCCGTAAAAGATACTACGTACTACTCTAGTTCCATAAATTCTAGTTTTGACTTTGAGCTATATTCATTGAAAATATTTGATATCCTTTAAAAATATCTAAGCTATTCATCTTTATCTGGACAATGTCTTCATATTCTAATATACTTCATATTATATGACCATTCAAATTTAGTCCCATTTCAGTTTAGTCGTACACTTATTATTAAATTTAATTATTTATTAGCTATGAATAGATTAATTTATTCTCCGTATACTACGTAGTACTCCATATTATTTATCAATTGATTTCATTTTGATAATCAGTAAAATGTACTATAGTAGTTAAATACAAACAAATACGGAGTAGTAAGTTGAGAGACCCGTGAGCCATATATGTCAAGGTACGTATCGGGTAGTAGTAAAAACAATCAACCCCATGACTTCAGAAAATTGTCAGTGCTTCGTATGGGTGTCTGGCCATTTACATAAGAACGTTTATATATGTCTAGTTTGTTTATTTCACCCTTAATTAGCAAATACTCCGTATGACCGTATATGCAATTTATACGAAGCCTGGACATTTAATTTGCTAGTTTTAATTTTAATTTGTTATGTCAACCCAACTCATAATATCATGACAAAAACATGTGGTGGTGTTAGTACACCCATGTGAAATAGTTGGCCCATCAATGATTTAAATTATATCTTGATTACATAAATGATTTAGTTGATGAGGTTTTGAATACGGAGTATATATATATGTTCTAGGCAAATGTCTTAAATTCGTTCATATTTTATTTCTAAATTATATCTCTCATCTTCTTCTTTGTAGTTTAGAATTTCTGAGACATGAGATAGTAAGGAGCAAGGAGTTGAAAAAAAAAATAGATACTTCACCAGTTCGGACATGAGATGGTAAGGAGCAAGGAGTTGGAGAAAAAAAAAATTAGATACTTCACCAGTTCGAACTCCGTATTTTACAAGGTAATAAGTTTTATTTCTTCATTAATTCAATAAATAATACTACCTCCTAAACATCTTATTTTCGCATATGAAGTATATATATTCATATATACTCATATATACATATATAAGTGTGAATCAGTGATGTAAATTCACCCGGAAGTAAAAATTCAGATGTAAGATCAATATATTTAAAGATAATAGTGATTAAAGGTATGCTAGTTTATCCTTTTCCTTCTTCATATTTCATATTTTAAAGATATTTTCATAAGAGAAAATATAGCTATAATTTTTCTGATATGGAGGATCCCAATAATTGGGCAACCATAGAGCATACTTCTTATAGTTTTGAATATATTCAAACATGTTCATACTTCTCAACATGTGATTTTCTTTTCAGATGAATTGATAAATTCCAGAAAGTATATACCTGCTGGGAAGATGATGATTTTGAAGATTTGGAGCAAATTCGTGCTGATAACGTGTTATAATATGGAAGGAAATAAGCAGAAGATCAGGGAGATAAAGTATAGTATGAATACTTAGTGAGAAAGATGTTATTAGAAGTGTGATAATGGTGTATTTACAATGAAGGAGAATACTCCTATTTATAGGAGAAAATGTAATCATGTCTAGATCAGGGGCTAATTGTGAGCCATACAATTACCATCTAGAAATCATAATTATGATTTCTTATTTATATTAACAATGATGATAAGTGTTCCTGATCATGAATAGTTGGAAGATGACTATTCAATATATTTCAACAAACATCAAATAAAAAACTAATGCAACATGTTAACACATCGCGTAGCAACAAAAAAGGTAGTATATATATATATGGGAACTCTTCCGGTAAGGTATACCTTACCGGAGCCTCCGTGCGGCCTCCACGTTTTGAGGGCCTTCCCGGTGGAATTTTTTGATAAAATTTTTTGAGCATGTTCTTCATCAAGTCTAGTACATCCATACCAAATTTCAGCAAAAAATTCAATCGGGAAGGCAGTCAAATGATTTTTGGAAGATAACTGCACCCTTTATATACATATAAAACGCAGTTATCTTCCAAAAATCATTTGGCTGCCTTCCCGATTGAATTTTTTGCTGAAATTTGGTATGGATGTACTAGACTTGATGAAGAACATGCTCAAACAATTTCATCGAAAAATTCCACCGGGAAGGCCCTCAAAACGTGGAGGCCGCACGGCGGCTCCGGTAAGGTATACCTTACCGGAAAGTTTCCTATATATATATATATAGAGTACTCTTCCGGTCAGGTATACCTGACCGGAGCCCCGTCCGACCTCCATTTGGGGGCCTTCCCGGTGGTATTTTTTGCTCAATTTTTTTGTGTAGGTTCCTCATCAAGTCTAGTTCATCCATACCAAATTTCAGCCAAAAATTCAATCGGGAAAGTTGTCAAATGATTTTTGCAAGTTAACTGGTCCAGAAAATACATATTCCGGACCAGTTAACTTGCAAAAATCATTTGACGACCTTCCCGATTGAATTTTTGGCTGAAATTTGGTATGGATGAACTAGACTTGATGAGGAACATACACAAAAAATTTGAGCAAAAAATACTACCGGGAAGACCCCCAAATGGAGGAGGCCGGACGGGGGGAGTGGTCCGGCCTGGCCGGACCTGAATATTAGTCTATATATATATATATATATATATATATATATATATATACATATATATATATATATATATACATATATATATATATGCATTTGGTTTAAATGTTTCAAATAAAACTGCGATTTCTGTTTTCTTTAAGCTAAACGGCAGATCAAAACATTCATTTTTCCTCATCTAGGCATGCAATTTCCAGCAAGGAACACAAAAAGCACATTAGATTTTCACACTAACATATAAGCTACGAGTACATTATTATTAATATAATGGTGGGACATTGTCGTCAATACATTATTCTCCAACAGCTACCAAGCTTGGACATAGAACATCAACGTAAAACCTAAAAACCCTATGATACCAAGTTAAAGCTCAGATTTGTACGTTAGCTTACATATTTGATATTTATTCCGTAGTGTACATTGGAAGGAAAATATTTAACTTGGCATGGTAGTGATGAGATATTTAATCTGATTTTTATTTAGTTATTAACTTATTATACAGTATATCTATATGCCATACTTCCCTATATGAAAGGCGGGGTTAGAACAGTGACATAACTGCACTCAAAAATCAATGGCAGTTGTCAATTTTCAGGTCTTCTAATGACTCTGAAATTCTCTCTTTGTTTCCAAATTTTTGTAACTCGGATGCCATCTTCTTGACAAACTCGGTTCCTTCAGTTTCGGTATTTGGAAAATCGACATGAAAAGAGCCTTGTTTTAGTGGGCCGAGAGGTGCGTGGCTCAATCCCTGCTCCTTCATGTAATTGTAATGTTGTTGGTGAAAATGATGGTCCGCCAAAAAGCAATTATCATCAGGTCCCTCGAAGTACCGAGATGACCCCGAACCTTTTCTACGACAAAAGTGGGGAAGAGATGAATAATCCATTATCTGCACCGAACATAAAAAATAACACAGGTCTAATCTCATCTTGCTTCAATGTAACTATAGAATGTAGGCAGGAGTACCAAGGTATATATGAACTTCACTCTAACTCACTCCAACATGACCCACAAGAAAGTGGTGTTTATCTCATAGCTATTAGACTAGGAAACAGTAGCCACCAAAGTGCCAATTCAACATGTGTCTAACCCAGGCCAGTCTGAACAACTACACACATGGACATGTGAGCTTAAACCAAACCCACAAAGGAGTTGCAACAAAGCATTGGTTGGTAAGACCCTCACAAACTACAAGTTACACGTCTACACCTATATACTAGATCCATTCCTAATAAGTCTCTCATTTTTTCGTGATTCTTTTTTTTTAATAAAAAGTAAAATGTAATGCACTTTCCCGAATTACATCTCACTTAGGTCAAACAGTGTCATGTCATTTCAAAAGATTATGAGAGAGAAATGGTGAACTCCGAAAGGTATAATAAAAAGGGCAGCCCGGTGAATGAAGGCATCCCCGCTGGAGGGGGTCCGGGGAAGGTCCCACTACAATGGTGTATACAAGACAAGCCTTCCCTTGTCAATTTTTTTACAAGAGGCTGCTCTCCCAAGACTTGAACATGTGACTTCTCAGTCACACAACAACACCTTAATCGGTGCACCAAGCAGTGGCGGATCCACTGCTGTTCAAGAGTGTTCACTTGAACACCCTGAATTTTCAAAAACCAGTAACTATGACTACTTATTATGTCTTGTGCTAGAAAAAATAACCGTGTAAATACGAGTGCCTTAGTGTGGACTATAGTGCTGCTGGTCTGCTGCTCTCTAAGGAAAGTGCTTATTTCTGAATTTCAGAATTTCAGAATTTTCAAGTATAAACTTAGTTGAAATGTTAGAATTCAACTAGTGTTTTTTTCTTGCTGAAACGTATGTGTCTGATAATTCTTTCGACTGGTGTGTGTAATAATTTAATAACAATTTATTAATTTAGTACTTTTTACTGTAAAGATAACTATATAATTTGTTGGCCATTTAGTAGTTTTTTATTGGAATGACAAAAGTGCATGATCTTGCATAAATTAATGCTCCATACTATCATTTGAAATTGTAGTTTTAATGTGATTTCGAACTATAAAAAGTATAGAAATAGTATTTTTTTAAATAAAAAACTTAGCATCATTTATGGAAAGATTATTCAAGTATGAAAAAGGAAAATGGAAAAAAGGAAGTGACTTTTTAGATTAGGTAAAATCTCATTAGGCGCTAATGGAAATTGTGGCAATATAAAGAGTCTAATCAAGTGTGGAAACATTGTACGGTGATATAAAAGATGATATGTGTGAAGTGAGTAACACTTTAGTTTAGGTAAAATCTCATTAGACGCTAATGGAAATTATGGCAATATAAAGAGTCTGATAAAGTATGGAAATATTGTATAGTGATATAAAAGATGATATGTGTGTGTATGCTCCAATAGTATTGACTCTAGGCAAGCATAACCAGAAGCTGGAAGAAAATATTACAAGTAGAAAATGGAAAGAAATTTTACCTTCAGAAGTTCATCTTGTCCACTACCTGATAACACACGGATTTTTTTCCTCGTCCTCTCATGGAGAAGAGGTCTGACAACCTGATAATAGTTCAAAAGTGAACCAACAAAATTACATCAATTTGAACTTATCTTTCAAAATAATAAAGTTTATAAGAGATTTGCTGCGAAAAAAGAGCAAGGAAAAGTGTATATAAGAATTAAGAATTTGGGCTAACCTTCCAGCAAGCTGAAAAAACATATGGAGCATTAACAATGTAGTATGTAATTGTCCTCTCTGGATAATTCAGGTCATCAATGGAAGATATAATTGTGCCTAACTGCACAAGATGAAAATAATAAAATAACACACTCTTGAACAACTTGTAGAGTATTCAACACTAGTAAACCAAATGGGGTTAAAAACTAGATAGTACGATGTTTCATTCCACTCCCTCCATCGAAAAAAGAGTCCAGTTTCAAACATTGATTTTTGCATAACAAAAAAAAACGACAAGTTACCTATGATAAACCTAGTTCAACCAACAGCAAAAAGATTAAAATCAAGTAGGATTCCTGATTTATGGCAGTTCTACCTTACAAAAATTTGAACTTTAGTCAAAATGACTCTTAAAAAACACATAGGTAGTAATATCAAATGCTATGAAGTCATCAAGAAAAAAGGTTAAAGCTGAAGTGTTTTGCATATTTTAATTGGGAAGTTCAAGAGAAAGTCAAACATGCATTGGAACATGTTTGATAATGTTAGTAACATTATGTTACTTGTTTGATGTTTGATGTTTTTCTTTTCTATGAAGTACATAGACATGTTTGACCGTCTTCTTTGTATATATGATTTGTATTATTGATTTATTATCAAGAAAATATATTATTTTTATATTAATTTTAAACGTTTCATGAACAATGTCAAAATCAGGAACATGTTTAACAAAAACAATGAAAACATCAAATTCCTACTTCCGGCCACTTTCAACATTCTGTTATTGTTTTTCAGAAACTCAAAACAAAAACACTATCAATCATCATTTACCCCAGTGCCGCAAAGGCTCCCACCTACGGTGGGGTAGGGGGGGGGGGGGGTCGGATGTATGCAGTCTTACCCCTGTACTAAAAAAAAACACTACAACCAAATAATATTCAAATATTGTATTGTTTTTTTTTTCAGAGGGGAAAGTAGTTAAAACAAAGACAGCAACAGGGAAAAAGTACTACCAACAACCAAACGACACCTAAAAATACTAAAGCGCATAGGCATAGACACCTAAACGAATTCGAAAGCTCATAGTCATCTCATACCTTTATTTGGCTCAAAGCTGAAAGTTTAAGGCCAGTCATATCCAAAACCTTGATGCATTTGCTAATATGGGTCCCATGCTTCTCTGATGCTAAGGGCTACAAGAGAGACTCCAAATGAGAACATGATTGTATGAAAAGAGAAATTAAACAATATTTTATGGGTTGCTTACCAGCACTACGCGGTCCCTATACTCGTTCATCTGAATGTGAGACTGCACATAGTAATTATCCTGCTTTCAAGTTTCCACAAACGAGGCCTTAAAACAGGATGTACAAGAAATACGTAAATCTAATAAAACTTAGAAGCAAAAAGCAACAAAAGACTGAGGAAAAGAGACTCTGCAGTAGAAATCACATCCAAACAAATATGTAGTATTAAATATAAGTTGAAAAGCTAAAATGTATGAAACCATGAGGACAAGGCACGTACAGTGACTGCCCCCCATTCACTTTGGATATGTTTGGGTCACGGTAAATGCTAGAGAAGAAAGAAAAATATTAAAGTAAATGTTACGTAGTATGTTTTTATATTTGTTGTATAGTGAAAATGGAGGAAACTGAAACATGATTAAACTTTTCTTAAATTTACATTCTCTTAAATAAATAGTAGAATTATAGAAATAAACAAACAAACAAACAAACAAACAAACAAACAAACAAACAAACAAACAAACAAACAAACAAACAAACAAACAAACAAACAAACAAACAAACAAACAAACAAACAAACAAACAAACAAACAAACAAACAAACAAACAAACAAACAAACAAACAAACAAACAAACAAACAAACAAACAAACAAACAAACAAACAAACAAACAAACAAACAAACAAACAAACAAACAAACAAACAAACAAACAAACAAACAAACAAACAAACAAACAAACAAACAAACAAACAAACAAACAAACAAACAAACAAACAAACAAACAAACAAACAAACAAACAAACAAACAAACAAACAAACAAACAAACAAACAAACAAACAAACAAACAAACAAACAAACAAACAAACAAACAAACAAACAAACAAACAAACAAACAAACAAACAAACAAACAAACAAACAAACAAACAAACAAACAAACAAACAAACAAACAAACAAACAAACAAACAAACAAACAAACAAACAAACAAACAAACAAACAAACAAACAAACAAACAAACAAACAAACAAACAAACAAACAAACAAACAAACAAACAAACAAACAAACAAACAAACAAACAAACAAACAAACAAACAAACAAACAAACAAACAAACAAACAAACAAACAAACAAACAAACAAACAAACAAACAAACAAACAAACAAACAAACAAACAAACAAACAAACAAACAAACAAACAAACAAACAAACAAACAAACAAACAAACAAACAAACAAACAAACAAACAAACAAACAAACAAACAAACAAACAAACAAACAAACAAACAAACAAACAAACAAACAAACAAACAAACAAACAAACAAACAAACAAACAAACAAACAAACAAACAAACAAACAAACAAACAAACAAACAAACAAACAAACAAACAAACAAACAAACAAACAAACAAACAAACAAACAAACAAACAAACAAACAAACAAACAAACAAACAAACAAACAAACAAACAAACAAACAAACAAACAAACAAACAAACAAACAAACAAACAAACAAACAAACAAACAAACAAACAAACAAACAAACAAACAAACAAACAAACAAACAAACAAACAAACAAACAAACAAACAAACAAACAAACAAACAAACAAACAAACAAACAAACAAACAAACAAACAAACAAACAAACAAACAAACAAACAAACAAACAAACAAACAAACAAACAAACAAACAAACAAACAAACAAACAAACAAACAAACAAACAAACAAACAAACAAACAAACAAACAAACAAACAAACAAACAAACAAACAAACAAACAAACAAACAAACAAACAAACAAACAAACAAACAAACAAACAAACAAACAAACAAACAAACAAACAAACAAACAAACAAACAAACAAACAAACAAACAAACAAATAAATAAATAAACAAATATATAAATAAATAAATAAATAAATAAATAAATAAATAAATAAATGAGTTTATAATATGTCTAGAACACATTGGTTCAGTTTGGGCTTTTTTTTCCCCTTTAATCTTTCTTTCTTCCAACTTTCTCAATAGTACTTCCTTTCCCTAATATTTTCCTAGTTCCAAACATACCATAAGAATTCGAATGCATATGATAAAAAGAAAGAAAAGAAAGAAAGAAGATTTGAAAGAAGGAAATAAAGAAAAATCATTCATTATTACCAATGCTTTGTCGAATGTGCTAAGGCCTACACCAAAAGCAAACACTGGAAGGCCCTATTAAAGACAAAAAGCAATTGTTACAATGACAAGTATTATACTCTAGCTTACTTGAACTATCCAAAAGGACGGTATGCATTAAATATTTACTATTTACCAGAATATGTACCTCACTTGTGTAACCAGACAGTCCAACTAGATGTGAATCACGTACATCTCGGTAAAGATCAGGAGGAATGATAGGTTTCTGTCATTAATCGTTAGTAGAATAAGAACAAATTGCTATTGTTTTATGCGTCAAACAAAGTTCCATATTATGAGAATCAGTTTTTGGAAAAAAAGTTAAAACTTTTTATTTAAGTTTTAGCTAAAACCGGGGAATCGAGTTGGTGTTGTAGCACAGGAATCTAAAGTAACGTCCATAAGGTTCACTCCTAACTGCCACAAATTTCAGAATTGTAAAAACTAGCTAACAGGACCATTATTTATTCCAAGGCTCCATTTGGCAGCCATGTTCTGCTTATTCGCAGAGTAAGAATTTTTTGACTAAAACATGTGTATGCTCCTAAATGCTTTCCTTTTAAAATAGTTCGGAAGATAATTCAACCATTTCGGCTTAATTGAACTTACCAAAGGGACCCTAAAAGTGTAGAGAAGATTCATACAAATGTATAAAAAGATTAAAAAAAAGATGTTGCAACCGTACATCCAAGTAACCAAGCATAACCAAATTGCTAAGATTGCACTTTGAATTTCTAGTCACCTAAAACAGCCAATTGGATATAAGCTGTTCCCATTGATGATAATGATGGTAGATAATTATCATAGTACTGAAGTTACTATTCCATCCAGCTAAGCATAACTGATAACAAAAATTACTAACCGCTAAAATATCATCAATCTCATTTTGGAGCCTCCACTTTAGGCTACCCATCAACTGTGACAGCACAAAATAATGTATCAGAACTTGATGACAATAGTGAATGGATGAATTCAGAGGATCACTTTTGAGAAGAGAATGAGTTAGTTCTGACCATCTGGTGAGCCTTAGAAACATTTCCTTCTCTTGCAGATAGGAAGCGCACTAGAGTTTCTTGTGGATGTCCTTGATGAATATTCTACAAGTGTAAAGTGCATATAAAAAGTAAATTCGAAGTTTCAATGGAATGGATGCAAAAAATACTACCTCCGTCATCCTAACATTGATACAAGAAGAGGTGGTGCAGTTATCAAAAAAAGTGGGTTTATGTGGTTGATATTAAGTTGATAAAGTGAAATAAGAATGATTTGTGCCGAATGGCCCCAATATACACAAAAAGAAATGCATAAGTTAACTCCATATCCACTTTGTGCCCTCAAAAAGAAAAGAAAAATTGTTCAAAAGCTGTTTAGTCCAAACAAAAAAGTCACAATTCATAACAAAAGCTAACTTTTCATATGATTTGCCAATTTTAGCTGAAACAACAAATAAAACCGACGAACATAAGTGTCATTTCATGAATCTTAGCCTTTGTAACTTGCAAGAAGTACAAAGTGTGCACGGCCATACATTATTCTTTCTTTAAATATTTTTGGGCAGAGGGAGCACTTGCAAAATCGTCAAATATTATTATTATTATTATTATGGGTGATTTCTATGCTTAAGTGGGCCGACTTGAGATTTAGCTAGCACCTTGAAAAACTTATTTACTGGGTGGCCTTAGACATTAAACTAACAGGAGTAATAGATCAAAGATAATAAAAAAAAGAACATGTCTTAATGAGCATTTTCAATTTAATCTTCGTTCTTCAGAATTTAATTTGTCTAATTACAACTTTCTACCAACTTCCAACTCTAAATCAAAACTCCCAGGCTCCTAGATGGAAATCGGATAGTGTTAAGAAGCACAGATCAGGATATAAGGTGAAAGGACTGAGCAAAAAACCTGGAAAGTCTTCTTGAGTGGTTCATCCACTGCACAAAGTTTTGCACACAAAGAAGAAGACTTGTCAGATTATAGTGGGTGATTTGTAACAGAAAAATTGGGAGGGGATGACAAAGAAAAAAGATATCTCACATTGTTCCATTAATGCTCCAAATTCATTGATTGATTCTTGAGAAACCACACCCATTTCTTCTGCTTCTTCCTCTTCTTCAAAAACTTGTAAACCGCAATGATTGAATTGTGAAAGATGGAAAAAAACCCAACAGACCAAACTAATACGGAGTAGTACAGAAAGCACACTATTCCCACGTCTGAACTTTAGCTTGAAAAATGACTGTTTAGTTTAACAAAAACAAGGGGGGCAGATATTTCAACGAAAGACAAATAAAGATTCCACTTTTACTGTCAGATAATAGACTGGTGAGGCGCATGGAGGGTCAAAATTCAAGAAAGGACGGCTAGGTCCCGCGAACAAAAAGGCCCCACCTTGAACTCCCCGTAGGGAAATATACCCTTTACCAAAAGCAATCGAATGAACGAAACAGAATAGTTGGGAAACGAGGTTTCCACCTCTTTTACAACTTGACCGATCACCATATATGATGATGCAATGCAAATGGACCAAATGGTTGGTAGATTCATGCTATGCTTGTGCGTAAGCTCGAAGCCGACAGACTTTAATATTGTCCGGCCGAATCAACAGCGTATATATATACTACCTCTCTTAGAGGTACACGTTTTGTGTACACGTTTGGTGTACACTTGTCCTAATCCTAGTAAAGCAAGGAATTTCTTATTTGACTCAATTTTTTAATTAAGTATTTCATCGAAAACTAACAACAGCTTGCCAAACAAAAGCTACAAGAAAAAACAGAACAGGTATGATTGGCATAAAATCGACGATTGGATTCAAAAAAGCATAAGATTCGGGCAATTTGCCGAATAAAAAACTGTTCGAATAGAAGACATAATTAAGACAGATAAAACTAAGCATAAAAAACATTTTTTTTAGATAATGAATTATTGAGATATGATATTTATATAATTCATATGAATATAAAATTATATACAATTTGTAGAGCGGGCGCAAAATATTGATTCCTCTTTTTCTTTGAACATTTGTCTGTGACAGACAATTTGTCTGTGAAAGACAGACAAGTGTACACCAAACGTGTACCTCTAGCATTTCTCTTCAAAGATTTCTACGTTTTGTAATGACACAAGATTAGTAAGGGCAATTCTTTCAAAAAAAAAGATTAGTAAGGGCAATTGAATAATATAGAAAAAGTAAGAGAGAAGGTGAAAAAATAGTAAAGAGAGGATAAAATGTAGAAAAAGTAAGGGTGATTGAGCATTTCTAAATAAAAAACTTACCAAAAAAGAAAAATGTAGGGAACTTTTAAATACATCCCAAAAAGGAAAGTGTAGAAAACTTTAAATACGGGGGAGTATATAAATATATGAGTGTGTACCTGTGCCATATACGGAGTATAAAATACGGAGTATGTTGTACCGTGTTTGTTATGAAAAAATTATAAATGAACATATGTAAAAGAAAATATAGTAGGGATAGTGAATCGTATGCGTTGTCATAACAGGTTGTCTAATCGTGACTGATAAGGTCTAACGTGCTTAAGTCTGATTTGTTATAATGTAGTCTGATGTGATCTGGTCTAATCTGATTGACAATTGAGATAAGTTTAATAAATACATCTAAAAGGGACATGTACAGAAGTTTGGAAATAGAAATAAAGGTATTATTTTTTAGGAATTTTATCCGAACCTGAAAGATAGATTCAATGTCAATAAGGGATTTGAAAAATCAAGTGTGTTGATATATGACACGAATGATTTAAAACTATAAATATACGACCTAAAATTTTATGAATTTTAAATTTTTTATTTAAAAATTTAGATATTATGTTTAATCTTATTAAACTAATTCATTTTTGTGAAGAAAAATATTTTCTTTTGAAATACTCAATTAACTTTACTTTTTATCTTATTTTTCCACTTTCTCCTATTTTGATAGTTTTTATTTTAAGAACCAAAAAGTTTTGTAATGCCTCTGTTTCATTGGATATTGAAAAATGTTTATTTTGCTTTATGTTTGTGCTTCGTATTATGTTTGTATTACATGTGTCATTGAACATTTCAACTCTCAATTAGGTGAATAAAAATAGGTGAGTAATAAGAAAAATAAAATTGTATAATGGAAGTTTGTGCACTAGACAAAGAAATAAGCAAAACCCAAATTAATTACTCCATAATTTAATGGCAAAGTGGCGATACTTTGGGACAATGAAAAAGAGAAAGTTGACAAACTTCAATGCATAAGAGAGTAGTATTAATTTGTTATTCTTTTGTTACTCCTACATTTAGAAATAAGCTATGTGAAACTTTTTTACATAGCTTTATATTTCTTCTATATTATTTTGTTTGTTGCACTTTCCTTTTGAGATTTATTTTAATTTTTGTTATACTTTCCATTTTTTTAAGTTTTTCGATTGAAAAATAATCAATTGCCCTTATTTTATCTATTTTTATCTTATCTTTCTTAGTATTCTACTCTCATACTTATTCTACATTATTCATTATTTTATTAATGTTCACTTAAATATTGTGACAAATCTTATTACAACAAACATTTCAATATGGATGGAATACTTAAAATTTCGAGGCACAATTTGACTATTTATAGACATATGGAGGGAATACTTAAAACATTTTTATAGACATATTGTCATATACGGCGTGGGAAAGGGCATTTTGAATACTCCATAGGATAAATTTACATTTAATAAATTTATGTTTAAAATTATATGCTCACGGTGCTAACATAACTCTTTGTATTAAGTTCAGGATATTGAAATACAACGCAAGTTTGGGGTGTTTACAAAACACTCAAAGTTTGGGGTGTTTACAAAACACTCAAAGTTTGGGGTATTACAATTATTTTTTTCTATATAATATTATAGAGCTTATTGCTATGAATAACATTTTAAAATACATTTTGGATATGCAATAGCTAATTTTTTAATGCTTATAATCTCCATGATTTGAAATTATTTCAAAAGCTTTCATAATCTAAAATTTGGACTAGTCCAAAAGCCCCCCAAACATATAAATCAACATGTTCTCAATCGTGGCATGAATCTTCTTCTTCTTCATTACCCCAGTGCCGCAAAGGCTTGGAACCTACGGTGGGGTAAGGGGGGTCGGATGTACGCAGCCTTACTCATGTACTATAATACAGAGTGACTGTTCTCAATCGTGACATGAATAAGCAGTATAATTACAATAACGAAAACAATATACTTAATGTAATAAGAAGAATAATCATAATGAATCAATAAACTGAATCAGCGCGCTTGGTAATTTAGGATTGAAATAGTTTTACCGCTTGATCTATTAAAACTATGTATAAATTAAAGAAATGGAAATCGATCTTTGAAGAATTTCAACTTCAATATTCTGAGGATGTTTTTATATTTAGTTTGATAATCAACTTATGTAGTTGAGGTGTTATAGAAGATAAAAAGGTGGGCACAACAACCATTACATCGAGTGCAATATTCAGTGAGAAAATACATCAAAAGAAAATATGATGAAGTACATGATGTGTTTATTAGTAGTAAAACTACGTGTTTTTCAAAAATATTGTTGAACTAAAATTTAATGACAAAAATATGACTAAACTTAAGTAGGGGTGGGCATATCAATTTTCGGTTCGGTTTTCATTGGGTTCAGTTCGGGTTGGAACGAATTCAAAGTATTATTACCAAACAAAAACCATACTAGCTACATTTCGGTTTGATTCGATTTGGTTTAGTTCAATTTGGATTTGTTACTTTTTATTAACATATGAAGGTTTTGTTGAATTTCTTTACTTCGGTTCGGTTTTTCTCGGTTTTGGTTCAGTCTGGTTTAATATAGTTTGGAAGAAATACTAACAAACTCAAACCAAACTATGTATGCTTTGGTTTCAGCTCGCTTCCGATCAGTTCGATTTGATACGGTTCGATTCGGTTAAATCAAACTAATATGTCACCCCCAAAATTTAGTATGAGTCATAGGCATAGCCAGACTTAGGTGCAAGGGGGGCGAGATATATATAATACAAGTATAAAAATATACAATAGGGTGTACAAAAAGTACCGGAAAATATGCCGCTGACGTTAGATTTTCAATCGTAAAGTGTACTCTCCAGTGGACAAGTTATAATATTTCAAAGAAATACTAAGTACGTATTAGTTACAAAACTAAAATTGCAAGAGAGTGAAGTTGTACGAGTAGTAATGGCCATAGTTGAAAGTTACGAGATTAAAAGTGCAAATCTCTCTATAAAATATAAATGTGTTGTAGCAAAATGAAATGATATAACAATACTAAAATTCATGTATAATGTTCAAATTATAAATTTAACTACATGTCAATTAAAACTTAGTTTGTGATTTTTTACATGATTTTTTAAGAGAAAATTCTTTATATATGATAAAAACATATACAAAGCGCACATATAGGACTATCATTCACTCATATATAGACATATTGTCATATACGGCGTGGGAAAGGGCATTTTGAGTACTCCATAGGATAAATTTACATTTAATAAATTTATGTTGAAAATTATATGCTCACGGTGCTAACATAACTCTTTGCATGCGAAGTATGGGGAAACAAACATTTTACACAATTTGTTTTATTTATTTGATGTAAACTGTAGGACACTTTTTTAATAACATTTTACTATGTATCATGTAAAATATTTTACGTGGGGGGTAAACTATTTTACATGGCTAATCCGGAGTAAAATATATCGAGATCCATCTTTGGTCATGCTTAACTACGATCTGGGACGTCGCAACCACAACCACTCAAACTCTACTTATTTCCTACGATCATAACTAGTGGGGTTCCATCATTTTCAGGAATCTGTGTCCCTCTTCAAAAAGCAAGAAATTCAAAACTTAGGTTGTCTAATTCGCATGATTGTTGTACGACGATTCAAGTTCCTCCGCCCAAGATTACTTCCACACGACTCAAGTCACTCCGCCCAAGCCTTCGCCTGCGTCCACCAATATCCAAGCCACCCCTACATGGGACGTCGCAACCACAACCAGCGTCCTCTATCTAGTTCAGCCATTTGAGTGGTTGGGAAAAACTTTATTTGAGAAAACAGAGCAAGATAATAGGAGCTATTTTGATACTTGGATGTCGAGTCTAATAATACATGGATAGGATCGTTGGAATTGTGTGTATTTTTAAAATGAATAAATGTCTTTCCAAGCAATGTATTTTAATTTTACATGTAAAATAATTACGTCCC